AGCCTCAATTTGCACGAGGTGTCAGAGGCACAGTCTGCTAACTTATGGGAAATTCATAGTACTGCCTTCCTTCCTAGGGTGCCCTGTGTCCCCTGCAGCCCTGCTTTTCCTGAGCCACTGCACTCAGCCTGGGCAGGGCTCCAGGCTCTTAGTCAACTCCATGACTGGAGACACAGTGTTCTTTTACCCTGCATAAACATTGACCTTGATTTTCTACATATAAATATAACACAGAGATGCCTCTTAATGTTATTGTACAATGGGGGCTACCTACTCTCTGTTTCCATGTTATGCCTGAATGAGTGCCATCTAGGTCCCTGCTATGGCTGTCTTCACTTTACCCATGACAGTCACAACCAACAATGCTACACCCTGTAGCTCCAGGCAAGTCCCTTGCCCTTGAGCCAGTAGTGGGCCGGCTGGGGCTCTTTTGCCACTCACTTCCTATCCAGCCTCTTGCATAAGGGTCTTGGAAGCCTCTGGCCTTCAGAGAGTAACCTTCCCTTCCCACTGGGTTGGAACCTTTTGACTGGGTCTCTTTCTGCCTTAGTCCCAGGGCTTCACATACCTGCTCCCAGCTTAGCTGGATGTCAGCCCCTCTAGAGCCATGGTGTAGGTGGCCCCCTGACTCTGGTTGCCAGGATTCACCTGCTGTTCCACATTTCCTCAGATGCCCACAGGTGCCCAGACCGCCCCTGAGACTGTTCTGCGGTGGACATTGCCCTCAGCTTCCACTAGACCCCATCTGTGCAGCTGGACCCTTGTTCCAGAAGCCCACCCCAGCATCATCCCCAGGCCAGGATCATGAGGTTCCCAGCATTCTGTATGCTGAGCAACCTAGGGAGACTGGCCTGTGGAGGAGTTGCTATTCTGTCATTCTACCCTGCAGGCCCCACCCTGCCTGCATCCAAGTCAAAGGGGCTCCCCTCCTCCTTCTGCCAGCTAGCGACCAATGGAAATTCCTCTCTACCTTACACCCCTTCTATCACTTTCTCTTACTCTTGCCCACAAATAACTCAGTTTTCTTATTCTCCAAAGATCCAGTGAAATCCACTTTCTGATATTAGCAAACACTGCATTTCTACCATGCATGGAACTATTCTAAGCACCTTAATTGTATTGCTTGATAGCATTCTCACAGCAGCTCTTTGAGATATGAAACATGGTTGTCTTTGTTTTATACTCGACTGAGGCATAGAACTATGGAACTTGCCCAGTCACCCCACAAGTAAGTGACAGAGCTGAGGTACTGATTGTAGGCTGTGTTCCTTACCACTACACTTAACACAGAACCATGATTTCAGACTTCCAGTCTCTCAACTGCTCGCCCAACTTTAAGCTTTACACTTTAGAATCTTCTTGACATTTATCTTCTGATCTGGTCTTAACCCCTATGTCTTCTGTTCTGGTCCTGGCTATCTTAATCTTCTGTTGCCTTCAGCCTGTTGACAAAGAGAAAGCAAACCAAGGACTACAGATTTGCATTGGGCAATCTGCAAAAGGCATAATCCACCTATGTTTAGTTGAGAGTTGGCTGAAAATCCAACGAGAGCAGTGGTTCTCAACCTGTGGGTCGAGACCCACAGAAATGTATTAAAGGGCCGTGGCATTAGGAAGGTTGAGAACTACTGACTTGGAGACTTCCTTTAAGGCTCATTATCTGGGCCCATCTTACTGGGTAAGCTTTGCTCTGCAGACACCACTCCTGACCCTAGTCACAACTCAGAGAAGCATCTTGATCCTCCCTGCCTCTGCAGCTAGGGCCCCAGAGTCTCCGCACCCATTATTACAGCTGCTCAAGAGCCACCTTCTGCTTATCAGCAAATGCGGCAGGGTGTTCAATTGCCAGCTTCCTGGACTGGGCCCAGAACTGGGGGCCCAGAGCTGGGGACCCAGCAGTGTCCTCTTCTGTGGACAGATTTGTAGCCTAATGAAGAGCCTCCTTATAGCCTCAGCTTCAGCCTTCCCTCAGCCCACATCCAGCAGCTGGGTTATAAAGGAGAACTTGCTATTTAGGAGGGAATCAGAGAGAGCTGTCAGCAGGACATAAATATTCATAGAGGGAGGTTAGAACTCAGTCCCTAAAACTTTGATTTGTGTTTGACCGTTTAAACCTCATTAAAAAGTGGCAAATGAAAGTAGGGATATTCAGTGGAACTGCAGATAAATTGGACTTGTTCAGATAAAGGCCCCCAACTGCCAGCTCCACAGGCCCTGCCCAGAACATGATGGTAGATTGGCTCGGCCACGTGTGGTTTGCCAATTTCAATTTTAAGATTTTGCTTAGCATGAGTTCCTAGCCTTCCTCTGGGGCAATTACCACTTTGGGCACTTGGTAACCTTCAAGAAGTATTTAGGGATGGAAATCCCCAACCTGCTCCCTCCCAAAATGACATGCCAACCAGGGTCTGGCCCATAGGGTAGCAGAGAGAGATCTAACCTAGGACTAAGACTTGCATTGGGTGATGGATAAGCATGGATAGTTGCTTCTCCATCCTCTGGCTTCTGTCTTTTGTGGGCATAAGGGAGGTTTCAGACTCCAATTGCTACATGAGACTTAAACCTCTCGATCCCACCCATGGTCCCACTTATTCTGGCTAAAAATATGAAGACTGCAGCAGGCCAGGCCTTGTGGTAGGCACAAAGAAGAGACAGATGGCACTGTGACAGGAGCCACAAACACAGGCACCCTCAGGACCCAGGCAAACCACATACACAAGTGAAATGGGCCAGTTTGTGGGATAGATTTGACCTGTGGGCTGCCAGGTTACACCATCTAGGGACTCTCAGAATTAAGAAGATGAGGTTTGGACACAAACAGGAGCAGCAACATAGAATATGCTCAGACTCACGAAAGAAGGACCTATTAACCAGCCAGGGGAAGGAAGGTAGAACCTCTCCAGCCAAATCTCATGGAAGAGGTAGAGCATTGAAGAATTAAGCTTTAATTGGGAACCTAAGTGGAATTTGGTGCCCTGATTGTGACTTTTACACCGCAAGAAGGAAACAGCAAGTCTCAGGGTCCTGAGGAGCTGGGCTGTATGTGCTGGGGTATTGCTGTGAAGAGCCGACCACATTGTGGCCTGAAGCTCTGGCATTGGGTGTTGCTTTCCTAACCTGCCTTCCCAGGGTTCTTTTCTCTGCAGTACAGCTTCTAGGAAGGCCTCAGGCCTAACCAGGGAGAGCCCCATCTCCTGGCTGGGGCTGTTTCTCTGGACAGCTCTCCCTTTGGGTGCCCATTAGCAGAGAAATGACACAATTAACCAGGCAATTAACTCAAAGCTCTGCAGTTGCTCCCTCCCACAGGGCCCTGCTTATGGAGCTGGAGTTGGCAGTGGCTGGGGCTGTAGGGAAGTGGGTGGACGGTGTGTCATTTGCCAGGTCTCAGGAAGAGGGAAAATGGCTGACCCAGAAGTGGCTGAGATGGGTGCTGGCCAGGGAGAGGGGAGAAGGCTCAGTGACTTGGAATACAACTTTCTCAAGACCCAGCCCCAAAATGCTTGCCTGGGGCTCTCAAACTTTGACTAGCCTTCCTGGGAGGCAGGGGTTCTTTTTTTTTTTTTTTTTGAGACAGAGCCTCAAGCTGTCCTCCTGGGCAAAGTGCCGTGGCATTACAGCTCACAGCAACCTCCAACTCCTGGGCTCAAGCGAGTCTCCTGCCTCCGCCTCCCAAGTAGCTGGGACCACAGGCGCCTGCCACAACGCCCGGCTATTTTTTGGTTGCAGCCGTCATTGTTGTTTGGCGGGTCCGGGCTGGGGATTCGAACCCGCCACCTTAGGTGTACGTGGCTGGCGCCTTAGCCGGTTGAGCTATAGGCGCCAAGCCGGAGGCAGGGGTTCTTACTTGTAGTCTTGATTACTGTCCCTGCAGAGGTGCGTGCAGAAAGGAATGGAGTAGAGAACTGGATGAGACCAAAGAGAGGGGTTCCCTGTTGATTGCCCAGAAGTCATTCCGTGTGTGGGGAGGGGGGGAGCTATTCTCCCTTTTGTGAAATAGAGGTCTATTTGCTGTCCAGGGATGTGGTGAGCATGAGTGAAATCAGAGATAGAAATCTGGCATTTATGGGGGCTCCAAGGGACTATTCAGTCAGCTCCTGAGAGGAACACAGAGCCCTCTGAACCTACCTACCCACTGATATCTAGGCTCTGGCCCACAGGCCCAAGGTCTATGCAGAGCAGGCCTGGGTGGGCAAGGTGGCCAGTTAGACACCTGGAGACTTGAGTTCGTCAGACAGACAGGGAGATGGGCTTTCAATGCCAAATGCATGCAACCAGGACCAGGCATGGCAGCCCAGTCCAGTATTTTACAAAACATTTTCTACAATTTAGATACTTCCCCAAGAACACATCTCTGAAGTTCTAATCAAAACAAGTGGAAAAAGAGATACCATAACTATTTTCCACACAAATTATAGCAATCTTGATGATAGACAACTTTTTTGCACAAGGATCAAGTCAGAAAGAAATAGAATATGTTCTTGAGTTGCATTTTTTATTCAGTAATTTTTATTGATTCTCATAAATATATACAGTATATTCTTATAACGTAGACTCCATTGTTAAGATGAAGCATGTCAGCGAGAAAGACACTTGATTTTTGGCCGCAGATGCCCAGTCACCCATCCCCTGTGTGGTGTTCTCTGGAAGCCACTGTGCCTTCTCACAGCATCTTGTTTTATTCTAGGATAGACCTGGGGGGCAGGCGTGTACCACATTCAGAGCATTGTTCCATTGTGAGCATTGGAGAGACAGAGTTGACTGGGGGCGGGGGTGGTGGTGGTGGTGGTGGTGGCTATTCTCCAGCTCCTACCTATGCCTGGTCTAGAGGGTCAGGACAGCTGAGACCCTGAATGATATCCATGGTTCTGGTTCTAGGGAAGGCACATGTGGGTGCCCTGCCCAGCAAAAATTAATGTGGTGGAGGGGCACTCCCCACATGGTTCCAGTGTTTTAAAAGCTAAAAGTCTCTGCAGCCCACATCTTTCCTGCTGTTATTTCAGATCGATGGGTTAGAGGAGAAACTGTCCCAGTGTCAGAGAGATCTGGAGGCCGTGAACTCCAGGCTCCACAGGGCGGAGCTGAGCCCAGAGGCCAGGTAATAATGTTCCTGCATAGCCACCTCACTCTTCCCTGGCCTCTGAGCTTCAATCCCCTGCCTACCAAGACCTGAGCCCTTGTTCCCTGTGTCTAACCTGGAGTGCCAGCTGCCCCTCAGGTGGGAAAAAGAGAAAGGGCTTGAATCAGAAATTCCTTTTCCCCTCACAGGAAGTCTCTAGAGAAGGAGAAAAACAGCCTGATGAGCAAAGCCTCCAACTATGGTAAGAAAGTTCCCCTCAGTTACCAGCTGCCACTTGCATTCCCAAGGATTGGGAAGGGTCACACAGCCCAGGGAACCTGACAAGATGGCAGAAAACAAAAGGGTTCTTCGGGAGGGCACCAGCCCCCAAGAGGCTATAGAAACCTGCTATAGGCCCAGAGCCAGGTTTGCTCCTTAGTTCCAAGGGAGGCAAGAGATGACCTATGGGTCTTCTGCTCTTTGGTGTGAAGGGGTGTGGCTGTAGCCAGGTCCAAAAAGAGAGATGTCCACCCAGGTTTTGGAGGCATGTCCTGCCCCAACCTAACCCCAGCCCTCCACACCCTCCCAGGTAAACCCTTCAAGGAAAGTGGGAGGTAAGGGAGGCTGATCCTCCCTCTTGGGTGTGGGAAGGGCTCCTGTGGGTGGAGCGATGCTGCCACCTTCTGGGCAATGGGGACAGAGCCAGCATGTCTAGGCTGAGGATACCCTGGTTGGCCCAGTTTGCCCAGAGCTGGTTTACAGGTGTCACCTTCTCCCTCCCTTGCATAGGTAGGGTTGGAACATTGGTTTCCCCTCAAGTTTAGGAATTTCACACAAAATTACATCACCACTCACTTTAGCCTCCAGAGTACCAGCCACTTGCATGTCACATGGAGGGGATGATTAGGTACAAGTGTGGCCATAGGACAGGACTAATTTCCTCTGGAGTTGAGACCAGCTACCTCATGGGTACAAACTGTTTCTCATAGCATCCCTCGTTCCCGCTCAGCTAGGTATCTGGCAGAGGGCAGGACTCAGGAAACAACGTGTGGCTCTACCTGCCACTTATTCCAGGGAGGTCCCAGCTGCCCTCAAGAGTTCATAGTTGGCCAGATGAGACACCTGCAAGGATAAACACCACAGAGCCAACCCTGTGACAGGCAAGAGGACTCACCAGTTGTGTCATACCACCTCCTAACTTGGTGACCCCCTCACCCACCCCACCCTCAAACTCAACTACATTTGAAGAGAAATGGTTAAACAGCATTGGGAGTGACTTTATTAGGCTGAGATCTGTAGCCAGAAGGGTGTGAGGATCTGGGCAGGGACAACATCATTTTTATGGGTAAAAAGGGACCTCTGTTCTCAGCAGTATGCAAAGCAGACAGGAACAATAGAGGGGTCTAAACCACCTGCCCCATCCTCACTCTCTTTTCTTCTCCCAGAGAAGGAGCTAAAGTTGCTTCGGCAAGAGAACCGGAAGAACATGCTGCTCTCTGTGGCCATCTTCATCCTCCTGACCCTTGTCTATGCCTACTGGACCACGTGAGCCTGGGATTTCCCCACAGCCAGTGCAGACTTCCCTTCAGCCCTTTTGTCAGGACCAAGCAGGCCTTTCAACCCTCAAGAGGCCCAAGGTGCTGGGGGGATTTCCCCTTTCCTAGTTATTCAAACGTGGCTTCCTGTTGGCTCAGCCCCTTTTGCCTCCCTGGCCTGGCCTGGGTCTCCAGAAGGACATGGTGCTGGCTTCTCCCTAAGCCCAAGGGAGAGGCAATAAAGAACACCAGGCTGCTCCTGTCTGCTGAGTAAATGTTAGGATCTGACTACAGTGGGTGCGGGTGGAGGTGGTGGCTGGGTTGGTACTCGGAAACCAAGAAGAGATGGTCAAAGGAAATCTCTGGCTTAGAATTCAGGAGAGAAAGGGAGTGCTGGGAAGCACTTTCCAAGCCCAAACAGTACTGAGAGCCACTTCCAGGGCTGGAGACTTGCCAGGGCTGAGAAGCAGATATTGTGCCAACTGTCCATCCCCACACCAAACACTGTCTTGCCCTCCAGTCAGCATCATCAGCTATAATTATGGCAGAAAAAAATGCAACCTATGCAGTGAAGGGCAACTTGGGGAGCTGAAGTGGGCCTGTGGAGATCCCAGGGGAACGCAGAGTTAATCCATCTTCGAGAGGCACACGGGGCTGGTGAGGCCTGCAAGTGGGCAGCAAGAGCCATGGTAATGACTGGACAGACTTATGGTGACAGTGGCCAGTAAATCAGGTGGGTTTTGCAGTGAGAAGTGGGAGGGGTAGGGCTGACTGGAGAGGAGCCCAGGCAGAAGCAAACACACACATTGCCACGACCTTTTAGTACATCCCCCACCTCTTAACTCTCAGCTTGGGGGCCAGGAGGTTGGGAGGTTGCAGCAAGGCAGAGTAGGGTAAGGAAGGGCTTGGCAATGGCTGAGATTAAATCAAGTAAGTAAAAACAAGGAGCTGCCTAAGGGGCTAAGGCTGTGAAACACCAAAGACAGAACCTCAGGGCCAGGGTGAAGGAGCCCAGTAGAGTATAGGCAGGCCTCAGGGGAAACCTGCACAGTGTGGTGTGCTTCCTAGCCTGGACTATCTGCACATACCCCACCCCCAGCGCAGCCCCTCTACAGGCAGAACCAAGCCCTCCCTCATCAGAGGGAGGCTGGCCAGGGTCAGCAATACCATCTCTCCCTCACTCTTTTCCCTGTCTAGTGACACTAATTGGTCTGACGCTTCTGTTATTTTAGTCACACAGACAGATTCTGGACTGTCAGCGCCACCTTGGAGTGAGCTGTGTGATTTATGTAAGAGGTGGGGCAGGTCCCTCTGCCCTCCTGGGGCTGTGGGTTCATTCATTCTCCTGTTACTGCTTCTAGCAGAGGTACATAATTCCCTGGATTCTTCTTTGGGTTCCCTCTTGAGCAGCGAGCAACAACCCTGGGAGCCTTGATGGGGCCCAGGAGCTTGGACAGGCTGCAATTAAACAAACCATCTTTTCTCCTCTCTTCTTTGAGTAGAGCTTCTTCCCCTTCACCTCTGGCCCAAGTTGTTTCATCCATGCCAGTCCCAGACCACAAAGCATCGAGGACAAATAATAGCAGCAGCCCCAGCACAGAGCCACACAGGCATTAAAAATATGTTTATCTTTAATGATCCAAGATTCTGCAAGACACACTGATATACCCAGAACTGGGTGGAAATACAGCATCTCAGCAGTGCTGCTATCAGCCTAGGGGGAGGGGCTGGATGGTGGCTGAAAGACCCCCATGGAGGAGTCAGTTCCAACCTCTCGGGAATCTCAGTGCCATATCTCCATGGAAACCAGTCTGGCACTGGGATAGGGCCCTAGGGAGCCTACACGAACATCTCTGAGAGGTATTTCCCATTAAAAACAACCACAGGTGCCCTCCCCCACCCAGAGCTACTGCCCAGTTTCCCCTCCTCCCTCTCTGCCTCTGCCAAGATAGAAGAAATGGAGTGACCACATAAGGACAAACAAAAGAAGATTGTACCTCCTACTGGGGTAGGAAAACAGAAAGTAAGGGTAGCAAGAAGCTACACCTCCTGCCCCAAACTCTGCCCAGACCCTAAGGCGGCTATAGTAGACAGTGGTACTCAGACCCTGGAGGTACACTCTGTTACTGTGAGGCCATTGCTGCCGGGAGAGAGTCAAAGGCAGGTCTTCAAGGCTGCTACCTGCCCTCTAAACTCCCCAACAGTTTAGACCAAAAGGGCATGGGGCCCAGGCAGGCCACAGCCCCCGGAGGCAGTCTTACCCGGTGCCAAAGACAGTGCTCCCTGGATCCTAATGTGGTATCAGAGACATGGGGCCCATACTCCTCCTTCCCAGCCTGCTGGGACTGTCAGAGCTCTGAGACTGTCAGAGTTCTTCCCTGGAAGAACTCCAGGGAAGGCCAGGATGAGGGGAGTAGACAAGAAAATCTCCCCAAATTTCACATCAATATAGCAAGTTTAAAGAAACAAAACCTTGATTTGTACAGCAGCTGCTCCTGGCTGGCTTATGACAGTGGGTCTCCACCCACTCATGGTTGGCCCAATAAAAAGCTGGGCAAAGCAGGGGCCTGGGCACCCTCAAGGGCAGTTCATGGAACTCAGAAAAATGAGTCTATGGGATGTAGGAAAGAACAGCAGAGCCCAAAGCTCTGCCACTCTTTGACATGTCATTCACCAGCCCCATGTGCCCTGGGCATTAATCTCAACCCTGCTTCAGGAGCAGCTTCCTTCGGGCTGAGTCCTGGAAGGGGGTATAGTTGCCAGGTAGGTGTCCCAGAAGGAACATGTGAGTGTCCTCTGAAGGCACCTGACCAAGCTTCTCAGGGTATACAAAGGAGGCTACCAACCCCTCATGGCCAGGCTGCAGTGTTCCCCAGTCCCTTTCCAAGAGGAGCAAGAGACCAGCACTGCAGGCCCCTGGTGCAGAGTGCCCTGTCTCAGGGAATGACAACATAATCTGCAGGGGTAGAGCGTCCCAAGGCACTCAGGCACTGTGTCTGGATGAAGGAGAGGACATCCTCCTTGGACAGCTTGTCTGGGTCCTGGAGCTTCTGGGAATCGTGTACACGGATGCCATCCCCCCACTCCCAGAAGAGCCGGCCATAGTAGCAGATGCTGGGAAGGGGAGGAAGGGGAAAGAGGTCAGAGGACTGCATGTAGGTGGGTGGGACAGCACTAAGTGTTCCTAAGGGTGGGGGGAGGGGAGCTCCCAGAACCAACTTTTCCCAACAAACAGCTGCTGCTGCTAATTGTATCCAACTGCATTCCTACAATTACTGATATTCCTGGTTTATCTGTCTGTGCTTCTCGAATAGAGAAGTGTGGTGACAGAAACAAGTGTCTGCGACTAATTATAGGCATATTAGGGCTGCTGTTGAAACCTATGGCTAAGAAACTGGTAAATGGATGCTGGGCCCTGATGAGGGACAGCTGGGGCCTTGAGTTCCAAGAGGCAGGCTTGTGGGCCCTCAGCATGTTCCCACCACATGGCCAGTATCAACCTTATGCAAGAGTGGCTGCTCTGTGGGGCAGATATACTGCCCACATGGGACTTTCACACCTAGGGCCCCCAAACATCACAGCAGGTCAAAGCATCACTCCCCTATTACTAAGCTTAATACCAGGCCCAGCCACACCTGAAGGGGCTGCCATCCCTACCTTTGAGGGGAGGAAAGTTCTTACTAGGAACAGAACCTGGCTCAGAGGAGCCCCTGCAGGGGCAGCAATCTGTCTTAGGACTTGTGGTGTGCCTCAGGAGGCTGGGTGGCATCCTAGCTAGTGTCCGTGGGGCTGCTGAGGAGGGCTACTTACTGAAATGGGGCAATGGAGTCTGCAGGGAGGTCAAAAGTAGATGTCTTGGTTTTCTTGTTGTAGAAGAATTTCCTGTTGAAGCTTTTGCTGAATCCCATAGTCCATGGCTCTGGGAGGAGGAAGAGGGGAACAAGTCCAGAAAGTACCCATGAAGGATAGGTCCAGCCAGCACAGAGACATGCGTTTCCTCCAATCCTATTCCCGCCTCCCTTATAAGTAGGCAGGGACAGTCTGTAAGGAAGCAGCCTTCATCACCAGCCCAATGGGGCTCTGAGGATAAGTAAGAAAACTGCTTCTCAATGACCCTACCCCAGTCCTGCCAACCTGCTATCAGGGTAATATCACTAAGACTTTAGCCAGAGAGCACTAAAGACAATGTGATACAAATGGATGGATCCCAGCCTGACTTTCTGAATCAGAGAAGGCCCTTTGCCTGTCATGACGGCACCGTATGTGTATATTCAAGCTGAGCTCCTCTCTCCCTATCCCCTGCCAACTCCCAGCACCTAACACACCTCTAAGAAATACCAGCCTGGGGTGACACCTGTGGCTCAGTGAGTAAGGTGCTGGCCCTATATACCAAGGGTCGTGGGTTCAAACCTTGCCATGGCCAAACTGTGACAAAAAAAAAATAGCCAGGCATTGTGACAGGCACCTGTGGTCCTAGCTACTCAGGAGGTTGAGGCAAGAGAATCACCTAAGCCCAGGAGTTGGAGGTTGCTGTGAACTGTGACGCCATGGCACTCTACCAGGGCAACAAAGTGAGACTCTGTCTCTTTAAAAAAAAAAAAGAAAAGAAAAGAAAGAAAGAAATACCAGCCTGGCTGCTGCCCACCATTTTAGGGAGCCCTTAGCTCTGGCTCAGGCAGGGTCTGGGTCATCCCCCTGGCTGAGAGAGGGAAGGAAGGGGGCAGGGCAGAGAGCAGTCATTCAATACCCACCATTCACTGTCCTGACAATGTAGAGCCCTGTGGGCACAAAGTGCCTGTCGTCACGCCCTGTGTAGCTGAGCTTCGGAGTGCCACTGGAGCCCTTGATGACCTTCATTTCTAATCTATTTCCCCAGGTAGGGGTGTACACATTGTGTGTG